TTTAGAATCTTTCTCAGAAATGAAGTATATATATATAATACTTTGTTTTGTAATTGAAGTATATCAATAAGAAATTTAATAAAATAGCAAAATTGATATTTTTTTAACGTATCGTAAAATTACTAGAGTAACGATAGCTAACGTAAAATTACTTAAATAAAACTACTTGCTTGTTATTGTATCTTAAAGTTTAAACTAATAACATATGCATCTCATGATAGTTTGATTTTCAGGGATAAGAATATCAGATTGCTCATTATATAGATATTAAGATTTAAACAAGCTAATTTTATTTTTAAGAATGAAAAGTATGTGATCTAAATTAAACTAGTTATTACTTAATGAAGTTCTACTTAATGTTACGAGCAAACTAGTTAAAGTAATTATCTCACAAACTCTTTTTATTTTTATAAAAACTTCTTTGTTGTTATTAAGATATTTAAAAGAATTTTAAGTTATGATCGATATACAGATTAAAAAATACGTTTTTTTATGCGTTATATCATTTTGAAAATTTGATGAAATTGTAAATGACTAAACTTATTGAAAATCTCAAGATTATTTAAAAGCAACAGCTTGGGAATAGGCGAGATTGCATCAAAATTTCAAATGCAGTTAATGTTTATTTATAATAAATAGTAAAAATATATAATAATGAACCAAAATATTTTTAAAAATAGTCTAAGCCCACGAAATTTTTTTTTTTTAAAATAACCTTAACGTGGATTACTAAACTATAAATTTTGAAAGAATTGCTACATAAGAAAAGTAATAATTAAACCAAAATATTGTTATAACAAGGGGAAATTCAAAACAATATTCAACATTTTGCAAGAATCTGAGGCAGGCATAATTGTTAGAGATAATTTATTTAAATAGATAGCAAGATCAATCATTAACCTATGTTATTGATTACGTTAATACTTTCGTCTTGTATGATAAAATGTCTATACTTGATCTTAAGACTTAATGTGTTCCTCGTCAAAACTAATGATTACTAACGACATTTTTCGACGAGTGAAGATTACATTCTCTAAGTTTTTAACTTAGAGATTGTTCAGAAATGATGTCTCTCTTGGAGAGGAAATTCATTACATAGTGACAGTTTTTTATTAACTAGCTGAGGAGAGGCAACAAAAAGCGTGACGTTAAGATTTTAAGATAAAATTTTAAGAAAAACACAAATTTCGATTTCAAATTCAAAATTCTAAATATACTGCTATTTACAATTGCGCTTTTACATTAATATACTACTATAGTATTATATAGTGTGGAAAAAAAGACCATCCTGAATGACTTTTGGTCTAATTATCGATTCCTAACGTTCTAGGACTCAATTGTTCGAAGGGTTGACTTTAAATATGCTAATTAATTAGTGCAGATGATATTTTAGGTTACAAAATCTGACCCAAAAGCGTACTTTCTCTGAATAAACATGCATTTTTCTTTAATGATGGATTAGGATTTCTGACCAAACCATATCAAACTTTGGATCCCTCTCCTGACCGAACTGTGGGACCATATTTCCCAGATCACGGCTACTCCCTACATTTTGTGAGTCAGATATTCGCAGGGGTTTGTCTATTTTTCTGAGAGGTACCTATTTTGTGAAAATTTAGACATAATTTGTGAAAAATTAAAAATTATATTAAAAAATCAACACAAAAATAAGGTAAAAATATGGATTTATCGTTTCTTAAGGGATACAAAAGTAAAATTTTAGAAAAAAGTAATTTGGGTCCTAAAGTTGAATGTGTGAAGGTACCGCTAAACGGTAGTAAATTCGGCCTGGACAGACCCCTGATTCGAATCCATCATAAAAAAGATATGCTTGTTAAGAAAGTCTAATTTTGTAACTTAAAATATCGTCTGCATATTTGAGGTTACCCCTTCGAACCATTAAGATTCAGTTCTAGAACGTGAAGATCCGACCCTTAGGTCAAAAGTAATTCTGGATGGTCCCATTTTTTTTATTTTACTCACTGTATATTAATAATGTTTTTTGTTGCTGAGTTCATCTTACTTCATATAAAATAAATATATATGTGATCATTAGTATTTCTTGCTCACAAATTCCACCAAAACAAAGCTTGAAAATAAGATCTAAAATATTATCTACAACTTAGTGCTTTTTTTTTTGAATTGCAAATATATGTTTATGCAATATTGCAAAGGTTAAAAAATATTGGAAAAAAATAAGCAAATTTTTTATGGATAGCCTCTTTTAAAGTAACCTTTAATAATTGAATTATATATCAATGAGCATGTGCAGAACACTGTGATACTTGCTCCTGAGTCTTTGAAATTAGTGAAATGGTGAATTGGAAAGTGTTTTTTGGTGAAAGAAAAGTAATTCAGCTGTCACATATCTCTAATCAGAATTTGTGGGAGTAAACGAACAACCCGTTCTCATTTCTCTAATACGGAAGCGTCCACAAAATCAGGTAGCAGATGTTTGAATTGCTTTTTATAAAACCATAATAGCAGCTGTTGACATCAAGTCTACACTCGAGGTATTAAAATACGTAATTTTATGACATCTTTTTTTAAATGTCTATTCCTTTCTAGGTTATTGATCTTACAGTTTAAGTGTATCGATAGTTAGTGCTCCCAAATATTGCATTAATATTGAGGTACTTATACTGAAGTATTTTGTAATTATTTTATATACTGAATGTTTTACTTTTTAAATATGGCAGAGGCTGCTAAAAATGCACCATAGTAGATTTGTTTACATAAGCTAATGTTTCCATCCTGCGTTTTAGGAATAATTTTAAATTAATTGTATTTCATACTTAAATAATAAATTATGTTAGTTTGAGGGTTGTTAGTTTGTTTTAGGAGTACATATAAATTACAAATTTTAAAATTTATATATCGTATGTTTTTAATAAATAAATAATTACATATTTAATATGGCGCGAATCCAGAAGGGCTAAATTTTAACTTCGTTTGCATATCTCTGTCTGATATTAAGAATTTAATTTCATAACTTTTAAAAGCGTTTTTAAAGCAGTTTAAATTTGGTTTTAAAACATATAGTTTAAATGTCTAAGTTTAAGAGTAAGACTTTGTACTTAAAGTTATGATTGTTTTATTATGGTTGAGAAGATGCAAAATATAAATATTCGATTACAGGATGCATGATTCGATTATGGGGATAATGGGGGATTCTGCAATGGCTACACGTAACATATAGTTTTAGAATCTTTCTCAGAAATGAAGTAAGAAAATTAAAAACATTAAGCCTCGTAAATCAATATATCAGCGAGGATGATAAAAAAATGCAAATCGTAATCTTTCGAATCACTAGCGAGACAAGTGGGATTAAAAATATTAAAGCTAGTTATTACCCGAGGAAACAAGGTGGCTTTTTTGATGATATGCTTTCTACTTCTCTCTGTTTCTTCGAGCTACCAGCACAGATTCTGATATTTTCTGTGCCGTCTTCCTCTGTTGTGATTCGTAAGATTTCGGTGGTTATTTTGTTTACGAATGCTTTAAATAATATAATGTGTGACCCTTAATGTGAATACAGTTTTTTTAAAATTCATTTTTGACAAGGATTCTGAAAATATGCATTAGTAGCAGTAATATTTTTCCAGTTAAAGAAACATTAGCTGTTTTACACAAACATCGTACTTAAAAATATTTTTATGGTCCAATTAAGTGTAAACATTTGATTAATTTTCTAATTTATGTAGCTAAATTCTTACTTTAAGTGAAAAACATTTAGTCCTAAATACCACGCTGCATGCAAATTCAACTAAGTGTCAAGTTTTACGAGCATTAATAAGTTTAATCAAAGAACGAAGTTTTGTCTCTCTCTCCCCCCACCATCTAATACCTAATTTCCGATGAAATTGTTATAACCTCAAAGTTAGCTTTCATTTCAATCATTGTATATTTTACTAAATACATCGTTTTGAGCACTTTGAAAAGTTAATTTTTTTTCTCTTTTCGTGATATTGCTTTGCGTACTAGATACTTCATGGGACTACTAGATTACTAGATAGTTTGAGATCCATTGAAGTTTAGTTTATGGTTAAATTTCACAATATGGTCTTACAATACATTCGAATGCCATGTTTGACTAGTGGCTCAATAACTTCTGAATAAATAAAGTTACTTTTATTTTCATGCTTTTTTCACGTCTTCTCTACTTTATATTGAAACTAGCAGACCTCCTACTTGTTTTTACAGAGCATACTGCTTGTTTCTGTTGGCAGTGTAGTACACCTCCAGCAGAAACAAGCTGGAGATGTACTACATAGTTTATCGAGTCTACTTTGTGGTGCCCTTGTTTTAAATAGAAGTAACCACGAATGAGAGGAGATGGGATGTACAATTTACTCATTGGTCTTTAAAGCTCTTTATCTCAAAATGTGTGAAGAAAGAGTTGAGCGACAATTTTAACGAGACCTTCAATTTGAAGTAAATTAACATCCCCAATATCATGCTTTATAATATAGTAATGGTAATTAATAATGGTAAGAAATGGTTATTAATGACTTACTTTTTATCGATGGTTACTAATAATATATTTTGAAATTGCAGCAAACCATTTCTGTTGATGGCCACTGCAGTTATGGTGTCTCAAAGTCAGGAGCATGAATGGTCGAACAGCCCTTCCAGAACAGGTAGTATGCTGTCGCTGGATGGCCGCCAACGACCTGCAACGGCCAAGACACCTCCATCTTATTACGATGCAGTCAGAAGTCGACATTCTCTCTCGCAACCTGTAAATAAATCACCAGAAAAGCAAGATAAAAACCTACATGTACAGCAGGTCAAGTACAACAGTTTGCCAAGGTGAGCATACAGAATTTCTCATTAATACAATGCTCTTTAGCTTACAAAAAAACATATATCAATAAATAACTTTCTTGAATTCAGTGTTTTAATGATAGATTAAAAACATGACAATGCTGAATAAATTTAGTGATACGTGGCATTAAATAATGACCGCCCTTAAGATGCATTTTTAAGTAGCTTCACTAATCTCGGTAACGAATAAACAATGCATGCGAAATTCGTGACTGCTTAAATAAACTTATACAATATGGAAATAAGACAGTATTTGCAATTATTAGGTAACTAAAAAGTAAAATAATTAACAAAAAAAAATGTTAAATTCAGATATTTTAAAAAAAAATTAATAAAGCCAAAAATAACACTTGGATCTGAAACTTCGATTTTATCCAACAAAGCTGAAAATATAGAAAGATATTTTGAATGTGGAATAACTAGAAAAATAGGCGTAGAGTGAGACGGGCACACTTTTTGTTTTTAAGAAACTTCGTTTATTCTGAGTTTTATACATGCCTTTTTATATAGATAGAAATACATAGAAGAAATAAATATGCATATATTCATAAAGCTTAAAATAAGCTATCAGTTTTTTACACCCCACCCCTCACGCTACGCCTATGACTATAAGAATTTATGGAACCATTAATTAAATTAACATATGGAGAAAAAAATACACCATGACATAAAAAATTTAGTTACAGGGAAAAACATAAGATTTATCAAATGTAAAAGAATATAGTCGATAGGATCTGTAGGATGTTATATTTGTTTCTATGTGTTCTTAAGATTAAAACAAGCTTGGACAACACATATTTTATTTTGAAAATAAAACAATCCAACAATTAACATGAAATAGAAAAAATAATCACTTAAGCAACACAATTCAACTGACATCACGCGCCAGCCGGAACAACTCTTCTTAGTTTTTTTTTTTAAATTGTATCTGAAGGGTGAGTATAGTATTCCCTCTGTGGTGCCGAACTCTACAGTGTCGAAAGAATGAAGGAAACAAACATGCCTAAAATCCTGAAAGGAAAATTGTACAATTGGAAAAGAGAAAGACCAAAGCTGAGATAACTGGATCAGGTTTAGGAAGATCTGAAAAATTCAAAAATAAAAAACCGGAAAAGGAAATCTCGGGAGAAATCGACGTGGAACTTTACTGTAGAGAAAACCAAATCTCACCGAAAGCTGTTGAGATGGGAAAGTAGAAAGAGTATAGAATATACATTCTTAGAATAAATGTGAAAATTAAAGTAATAAAACTACATGCGTGAAAGGTTTTATATTGATATTTAAGTGATAAAATTGTATGATTAAGTGAACGAAAATGTCTTCAAAACCTCATCTTTAATGTCATGAGATTATGGGGAAAAAAAGAAGTGATTAAAATAATTTAAAACCAGTTTGCTTGTGAGACTGGGATGAATTTTTAAGCGAGGAACCATGTTCAAGTTTCATTCTTAAATATACAGGCTTCAGAGAATGTTTTGAATCATTTCGCTCTTTCTAATAATGCTTGAACAAAGCATAAAAACCTGTTTTTTTTTTAAACTTTATTTTTACTTAATTTTTTAGCCTTATTTTCTAAATGATTTCTTAAAATCTATGCAAAAAGAATCATTATGGGAAGCATTATCGTGCATACATACAAGCTCACGTACAACATAAATGAAACAAATTAAAATAATAGAACAGTTGAATAACTTTTGATATAATGGTTGGATTTTCATGTACTAAGTTGCCGTCTTTATGGTTCTAACTGTAAATATGATAAAATATTTGTGCAGACGATATTTTACATTTTAGACAATAAGTCAAGGAATAAGAAACAGAAATGTTTTCCTCTGAATAAACATGTTTTTTGTTCGATGTTTGTCCTTTAAAATATGGGGATAGCAGCAAACTTGAAAATATAGTCCCAAAAAATGAGGCAGAACAACGGTCGAAAGTTAAGGCTCTTTAATGTTAATTAATTTTTTTAAATCTATAATCAAATAATTTTAGTACGCAATTATATAACTCGTTCAACTAAAGATAATACTATGTAAAAATCATTTTATTATAATTATTTATTTTAACAATGGTTAAAAATTTTCAAATTATAAGTCATATAAATTTTTATGTAATTTTTGACTATGTAATTTTAAAATCTAAATTCTAAAATTTTAGCAAAATTGGATTAATATTTTTTGAAAAAAGGAAATTTTAATTGATACATTTTTGATTGTATATTTTTGATTGATACATTTTTGATTGGGTTAGTTGTGACTAGTAAACTAAGGGACATTATTTTTCTGTTGAATAGTGAAAATATAAAACGGTTAAAGGAAAAAAACATTAATTTATAGTAACCTTAATATTTTGCTACAAAAATATCCACAATATATATTTTTTGTGCCTTATAATTGCATTGAAACGAATATATGACCATAAGGGTAGGTATAGGTAACAGAAGTGACATTTTACACATCCACTTCGTTATAATATTTATCGTATAATTAGTTAACTGCTTTTAAAATGTGTAATTGGTAGGCTTTAGCAATTTTTTGAAACAAGAAAAAAGAGTTATTATAAGAAAAATTGATTAAATGCAGGCATATGGCATTAATGTCCCACTTTCTGGTAAATGATCCATATAAAATCAAACAAGCAACTGTACATAAAAATTTTGAAAGTAAAAAATAGTTGTTTGTCATCTATAATGCGTCATTTAAAAATAATTTTTCATCAATATATCACAGATATTTCTGGTTCTTAGTCGTTCCAGTTTAGATGATCCGGTTTTAAAATAATGTTTCTTCTCAACATCTTGAAAAATGTTCGCTAAATTACTGAAATTCTGATAAGGGGTTACTCACCTTACTCAAATTCCGGCAAAGGCCTCACTAATTTATTCGATCACTCATATCACTAATTTTCCTACTCTCTCCGTGAAGTTAAAATTTGGAAGATGTGTTTTTAAAGAAATAAATAGAAAAACGGAAAGAAAGAAAAGATTTCGATATTCTTCTGCGATCGGGGTAACTAGGGTTACTAAAATAAATTGGCAGTTTTGCAAAGTAACACGCTTCTGTGATTTACCACCATGTGTTTAGCGCATCATAGCCGATTCCGCTTTTTTTGAATCCATGAAGGTGAGCAGCTATGTGGAGCTGTGAAATGGTGAGTTGGTTTGGGTGGACGTATTGACTACCACTGGCGAGCATCAGAAGAGATTTCTAATCATCCGATTTGCATTTAGAATACTAACAAAGACAACTCAGAGTAATGCTGCAGACGGACTACCAGGTTGCCGCTAGCGACCACTTGCTGTTTACAATGAAAAACAAAAGACCTAATTTTATATTTTAATGCATCTTTATGAGTTGCTTTTTAAATGATTATAATGTGCTTTATGTGAATAAAAGTGGATAAATTTTTATTCAGGCCCCTGCCTCAAAGGTATCCTCCTGCTGTAACAAATCATCAACAGACAAGAAGACCTAATTTTATATTTTAATGCATCTTTATGAGTTGTTTTTTAAATGATTATAATGTGCTTTATGTGAATAAAAGTAAATAAATTTTTATTCAGGCCCCTGCCTCAAAGGTATCCTCCTGCTGTAACAAATCATCAACAGACAAGAAGTGCTTGGACAGAGGATCCTCTCAATCATAACGGAAATTCAACCAACCATTGTGGTATGAGGCAGCAGTATGATTCTCCACCGAAACCGGCAAATCGCGTGCCACTTCAGTTGCAAGTGCACCAGGACAGGGGTCCCATCAAGCGAGGACCATCTGACCAGCCGGAATCATTCCATCAAGGGTATGTTCCAGCACCCAGAGGAATGGAACATCTTCGTGGCAACGTTTCCAGGCATGGAGTAGAAAGAGTAGACGGAAACTCCAGACCAGTCAGCATGGTTAGTTTTGAATCTTACAGTAATTTAGCCTAAATATCATTGTTTGTACTGAAATAGACCTTAGTGAGTAGGGGAGTTAATTTTTCCTGATAAAATGTCAGAATGAGGATGATTGTTTGCTTCTGAAAATTCATTTAATTTAATCCATTTAAAATTTATACTAAATTGCATTCGTAGAAAAATCAGTTCAATTTTGAACCATAATACCTGAAACTTAATCCATAATACCGTTCAAGCTTACAGCAACTTTTATAAAGTTTTCAACTGCATAGTATTTTCAACAAATATATGGTGTAATTAAGTTTAATATCATTTCATTTGCACGCTAATACTGTTTAACGTGTCTCCTTGTTAGGGTTACTGCAAGCCTGAACGATATTTTTTAACACAATCCTAAATTTCTAACTGTTTAAACGGATGCTGTCTTACTTTGTATCGGCTATATAGAATCAAATGTAACTAAATAAAATAATTAATAATAATTAATAAAAAAATAATAAAAGAGTAATAAGTTAATAAAAAAAATTAAAGCATCGAAATAAAATTAAAAAAAATAATAATTACGAAAATTACATAACAGATAAAAAATAATTATAGTAATAAAATAAAAATAAAGGGTTGAGAGACATAAGGCATTGAGTGTTCATTTGTCGTGATCATAGTATTTATTTGGACCGAAAATTTTATGTCATTAAAACATCACAGGAAAAGGAAAAAAAAAAATGCCTCCCATATTTCGATAATTCAGGTTTCTGGTATATTTGCGAAATTCTTAGCAAAGGTAATTGCTTGTGCTTTTGAATGAATGTGTTATTGTTTGTTTAATTTTCTAATTTACCTAGAGTAAACTTCCAGCAATTAATGTACACGTTTGCACGCACATGCGGGCTTACAATATCTCATTTATTCAACAAGAAATGTTTTTCCTTTGAGCTTCTTTGTCTTTTATCACTAAACAGTTGATTCAGACTAAAGAATAGAAAGACCTCACAAGTGTTGGACTCCATAATTATGCGTATTCGCCCTAAGATATAAGGCCACAAATAATGTGTTCATATTCATCGCTGCATTACTGTTTTATACTTTATTGCTGCAGCACTAATTCGCTACGTATTTTATATGTTACATTTCGTGTTTTATTTTGTATTTTTCTTGAATTTTTGTTTTATTTTATATTTTTGTGTTTTTTGTTTGGCATGTTTCATTTTCATTTCGATTTTTTTTTCTTCTCACTCTATTGTATTGATATATTTTGCTTGGCGATATTAACATAATGTTAGAAAGCACTCTAATTTGCGAATATAATAGTGTGAGCTGACGACGAGATTAGATCTAATCTTTATTTTGTTTTCTGAGCTTTTAGTATTTTTTAAAATTTTTTTTTTAGTAATCTTTTTGTTTCTTTTTCTTTTAAATATTTTTTACTTGCTTTCGTTATTTTCTTCATTACCTTTAGATACCACTGCTAAAGGTAGGCTAAAATTGACTTAACTGTCACATGAGTCATGAATATTGATCTATTGCTAACTTAACTGTGAGCAGTTACTTCTCAGCAAAAAAGCGTTATTTTATGTGATAACGCAGCTTTCCTTAAATTTTTTGTAAATATCTCGGACGCCTACTGTCATAGAGAATTGAATTTGATAAAGTTAAATTCTTATATTGTGAGAATAGGATTTCTTTTTATCATCAAACTTACTACTATATTCTTTTTACTATACTATTTATTATATTTATTTACTATATCTTCAAAATTATGAAAGAAAATTTAATCTTTTATTTATTTCTTCCTTTTTTTATGATTTAAAACTATTCCACTAATGATTTTTCGTGCTGCCATCTATTAGATTTATTGGACACTAAGTGCTACCTCACACAGCACTCAACACTCTTAACCTTCCTCCTGACGGACTTTCTGGATCAGACTAGGATTATGGGGCGTTAAAATTTATTTATTTTCGATTTAGTCGAAGTGCTAAAAACCAGATTCCATTCGGTAACTTGATTTGCAAAATTGATTAGGAATTCTAAATCTCCTTTAACGCGCTGGATATTTTATATCCAATTTTAAATACTTCTTTTTTAACTGTTTTGGAAAACTAAATTGACTAAATTGATTGTAATAAATTATAGGATTACTTTTGTTAGTCCACAATAGTGTTAGTGATAGAATGCGTCCATTCGGTATCTTGATTTACAAAATTGATTAGGAATTCTAAATCTCCTTTAACAAACTAGATATTTTATATCTAGTTTTAAACAATTCTTTTTTTAATTGTTTTGGAAAACTAAATTGATTGTAATAAAATATAGGATTACTTTTGTTAGTCCATAATAGTGTTATTGATAGAATGCGTCCATTCGGTATCTTGATTTACAAAATTGATTAGGAATTCTAATCTCCTTTAACAAACTAGATATTTTATGTCTAATTTTAAACAATTATTTTTTTAATTGCTTTGGAAAATTAAATTGATTGTAATAAATTATAGGATTACTTTTGTTAGTCCATAATAGTGTTATTGATAGAATGCGTCCATTCGGTATCTTGATTTACAAAATTGATTAGGAATTCTAAATCTCCTTTAAGAAACTAGATATTTTATATCTAATTTTAAACAATTCTTTTTTTAATTGTTTTGGAAAACTAAATTGATTGTAATAAATTATAGGATTACTTTTGTTAGTCCATAATAGTACTATTGATAGAATGCGTACGCAGTAAGAATGTTTTTGTTTCGTTGCATAATTCGCAAATATGAAGATCAAGTGTCATTTAGTGATAATATTCTTTCATTTTTTCACCCATTATTTATTATTCAGAACTTTTTATAGTTAAAATAGACTTGTGGTCTCTAGGTTCCACCTTAAAAGAGGGCCCATTTAATCAGCTGGGAACCAAGAGGGGGATAGCAATTTTAGTTATGACCCATCCAATCCTGCAAACTTTCAGCTTTATAAAAAAAAAAAAAAAAAGGAAAAATGCAAGTGTTATTTAACATAAAGAATACATATAGCATATATAAAATTAAAAATTTTATATTAGAGCCATTCTTACAGTATGAAAAAAAAAATGAAAAATANAAAAAAAAAAAAAAAAAAAAAAAAAAAAAAAAAAGGAAAAATGCAAGTGTTATTTAACATAAAGAATAATAAAACATATATAAAATTAAAAATTTTATATTAGAGCCATTCTTACAGTATGAAAAAAAAATAGAAAAATAATTTTATTTTAATTTTGTTCTTCAGAGTTCTTTCAAATAAATATATAAGGAAGAATATAAATATTTATGATCAAGCCCAGATAAATTTTGACTCTTCATGTCTTGCACATCTCTGTAGAACTCTGTTGTCATGATTTTAGATACGATTTTTGTTGTAATTTTAGCAATTAAATATTTCTGATAAACTGTTTATAATGCCATTGAGTTTGCTCGTATGTTATCATCATCAGCTTAGGCATTGTTATTTTTCTTCTCTTCATAACAGGATGTAAGTCGAAAAGAAGCTATGCTGTCTATGCCTATGCGCGTGGATGGTAGACCTCCTCCGCCTATACCAGGACGGAGACCTCCTCCTCCACAATCTCGAGGTGTAGTTCCTAACGGAGTGGATGGCACTCCAAACTCCCTCTTTAAGAGGTAAAAAAAACTTTTTTTTCTTCTTCAAGTAACTCTCAACATTTTTATTATTTTTGCTACCTCTACTTTCTACTCTCTATTACGAAGAATCGTAAGTTCCACCGACACCATTTTTTGAGTTTTCACCTTAACGTTATCCTTTGTTTTGTCTGCGGACAAACTATATGATTTAGGAACTTGAAATTGCGATGGTGAGTAAAAAACGTGCAGTGAGAACGGGGGTTTAAAAAAAATAAATGAACACGTGATAAATAGTTCGAGAATTATTGACTGTTGAACTTGTAGCGAGAAATACCATGTAGGCCTAACTGCAGGCTGCATTTATGAAAATACGGAGTTGAAATTTGACACGCTGAAAGGGCCTTCTACATCTATGAACTTGATTCGAGTTTTTTTTCCCTTCAAATATCCAATTTATTCGAAAGTTATTGCAATAAAAGTGATTTTTTTTTGTAAATTTTTCTAATTTTTTCAGGTGTTGCCAAATACAAATGTTAACAGTTATGTAGACATTTTTAAAAGTAAAAAAGTTTAATGCAAGAGAAATAAAAACTATTCTCTATTTGAACTGTTACAAGTTTCGTTAGTGAGTAAAATTACTTCTCATTTCTTAAGTACAATGATTGCATATTTTGCTAACAAAAAGTACTTTGTTTTTGTGGAAAATATCGACTTTTAAGGGGGAGGGGGATACTGACAAATGAGAAGCAATTTGAGGTGTTTGTGAGTAGAACCTTTTAGTTATTAAAAAAAGGAAAAAGAATACATATAGTTTAAAGGAACAGTTTTTTTTTAAATCGGCAATTACTATTCAGAGAAATACAATCCAATCACATTAATTTGAACACAACACGAGTCCGACGTCCTCGTGAAACAACCAATCACAAAAAGCAGATGGCAGCACATTGCTGTGAAACGTATATAAAAGGTCCTCAAGGTAATCGGAAAATATTGCTGTCGTTGGCGTAATGCTAAGTGGTAAATGTGGTAAAATCAGATACGTGGCAAATGCGGTGCGCTGTGGACCATAAATGACATGACTGACGTGAACGACGGCTGCAGAGACGCGTTCGGGTGAATAGACGTATAATCTAGTTAGCGCACCTATGCTGATTGCTGTTCATCAGCGACGAAGGCTGGAATTTACACGCCAGTACTGCGACTGGACGTGCACAGACTGGCGACCGTTGGTTTTTTTTCCAACGAATCACGTTTTATGCACCTTTGAACAAATAGACGTTGGCTTATACAGTGTGAACCGTCTGAAAAAAAAACATCCTGCAACAATTGCTGGAATGGACCAAGCTTGAGGGAAGAGCATTATCGTCTGGGGAATATTTTCGTGGCATTCTTTGGGTGCACTCATCATTGTGGAAGGCACGATTGATCAAGATAAGTACGCATCTGTCCTTGCGAACCCTAATTAACTCTCAACTTGCACGCATCGTGGTAGACCACTCTGAGGAAGGTAGTTATTCTGGCTTTTGACAAGTGGTCACATTAAGGAGAATATAGTGTATAAATTTACACTAGAGTTTCGATGTTGTATTTTTGATAGATTGCAAATTTGATGAAATCTAAGTACACTTGATATATGAGAAAATGCGGGGAAAGTTTTCGAATAGAAAAGTGATATGTAAGTAAAATTGAATTAGTTAAGGAAAATATATCTTTACTTGTTGCATATTTTTTCCTATGCGTTTTTCTTTAAATTCTTTAATTTGTTTATTACAGTATTTATATTCCTTGTATTTGATCATGGATCTATAACTTTATTCTATTAGTTTTTAATGTAATTTTTTTTTATATCAGGGACATCAACCAAAATCCAGCCTTAGGAGGACGTTTTCCAATGCCTGTGCATGGCTCACACACTCTACCAAATGGATTTGCACCAGCTTCCAGAACTGTCGTTACTGGTACATCCAGCTACGAACCACGATATTCAAAAAGTGGAAAGTTATGCCATCGCATGCCTACACAAGACCCAAAACCAATGCCTCCTCCTGTAGTTATGCTACGAACTGGACCTCTGGGTTCTTATCCTGATCCTGATATCCTGAAAAAATGCGATATGGCTTCGTTCAACCATCGCCCTGAAAGAAGTTATAGCACTGGTGATTTTGAAACTCATTACCACAGAAGTCCAGGTGACATGAATAACTCTCAAAAGAGTTATGAAAACGTTAATTCGTTCTCGAATGGCAATAGCGATCATTTAAACTCTTCATACACTCGATCACCGGTATCACCGCACGAGAAAAGGCCAGTGTTTGATGAAAATCAAATGTTTGACAGAAAGACATCTAGAAAGGATACTCAAATTAATTTGCAGCAATCACCATCTTTATCACATTTACCAAACTCATCCTCTTCAAATCTCCAAACAGCAATTAAAAGTCAAACTTTACCCTCCAACGGAAGAGTCCCCACCGATTGCTTTAATCCTATTCGGGAATATATGAATCGTACTATGCAGCAAAACAATATAATAATGACACAACGAACCGAAAGTACTTCGTCTTTAAATTCTCATTTTAATCAAATCCCTTCTGACAACAGAGTTTATAATCCATCTGATAACAACAATGCTATCTATGCTAACCATGAAATATCAGCTCGAACTGCTAATGGAGGTAGATTGGAACACCCATTTGACTATCAACGAAGTAGATCAAATTCAACCAGTGGTCCTTTGTATGAAAATTCCTCATCTTTGCATACTTCACCAAGGGAAAACTTCAGAGGCATTCAGGAGGTTTTCCCTGAAAGTGTTTATGCCAATTATAATATAGAGACTCATTATAACAATGGTCATTCTGCACAGAATTTTAAGCTGCAAGAATGTCAACAAAAAACTGTATCTTCGGAGAATGGTCAACATGCTCTTCAATCAAAGAGCTCAATCAGAGAACAGCAGTTTGACAGGCATAAAACACATCCACCTCCAGTAGCTCAGAAACCTAATAACAATGTATGCCAACCTTCAGAAATGTTGGAAACTAGAGGATGGAATGGTCAAGCTCACATTAATTCGTATGGAAAAGAAGTAGTAAAGCCTACACCTAGATTGCCCAGGTTCGCCAATGGCCTTATCGCCACAAGTGCGCAATTAACTACAGTGCCCGCATACCAATGTGTTATCAATGAACTTTCCACTCGTCCAGCTCATCATACATCACCAACAGCTACTGATTCATCAACCTTGTCATTTAAATCGAGCTGTGATTCATCATCAAGTTCGAGCAGAGAATTTAATAGAAGACCTTGTAAATCAGATAGTAGTATGGAACAATCAAGATCTTCAGAAGGTAGGTTTTAAATTTAAATTGTGAGAAAGGAAATTTTGCTTTCGTGTTATACTTGAAGTCACAAAAATTTATCTCTAGTAGTATACAGAATATTTTAGAAGAAATAATTGAACGTATGAAAAGAAATTTTTGATATCATGTGAGTAGTTATTATTGTAATGTGTATTACATTAGTCAATTTTAGTTAAAGATCTCAGTTTTGTTAGGCAATTAACCTAACACTAGGTTATGTTTAATCAAAGGTTGTAACGTTTTAATTGCAATGTTCAGTAAAAATCTTAACATTTGTAATGAGAGAAAGTTTAGACAACGCAACGTTTAATGAAAGATATCAATTTGGTTAGGCGCACTAACGGCGCACTAACTCTACACGTAACACTAAAAAAAGTTCTTGATGGCCTAAAATCTCAGAGTTACAATTCGATCATTTGAGTCCAGTGATTTCGAATAAGATTTATTGGACTATTCTGGTTAATACTGATTGGTTGGTTGAGCAGCGATGGCTCAGTGGCTAAGGCCCAGATCTGTCATTGTGAAGAACTGGAGTTCGATCCCCCATGGCAGCTTGAAGCCCACCCAACTTCAGAGAAATGGGTACCAGATTATTTGGGAAATAAAAGCGGCATGTGCGTAATGCAGAACACGCTGCCACAACCGTGCTGATGGTCACGAAATCGCGGAGTCTAAACCTCCATAAACCCTTGATTCTCATCGGGTTGTTGCGGGAATACTTTACAGATTCGAATAAGTTATTTTAAATAATTGATTCCAATAATTTAATTTTATTTGACTATTTAAACCGACTCCGTTTATATATTTTACATTATTAATCGCAATCGGTGATTGATATCTGTTATATCTAATTCGTTTATTACTATTGTACCGCAGTGGACTGATCGTTAAAACACGGTTCCCAGCAGATCACCGAAGTCAAGCATCACAGGCTGCGGTCAGTGTGCGGGTGGGTGACCACTTGGATTAGTCTGCTTAGGGACCAAGGGTGTGCGGTATTGGTCCTCGTTAAACTGTTCTACCTTAAAGTGCTAGACTTCGCGTGCAGGTCGCCGGGCTACGGAAGCAGAGGTGCCCCTCTGCAGAGGATCAAAATTGGGATGGCATGTCCTCGGATCATCCTCAGGGATGTTTTCCAGACAGTCGCCAATAGACCATTGCGAAGCTCTAGTGCGACGTAAATGAACTACATGATTTGATTAGTGCAAAAATTTGATTTGGAATTGATTTGTTAAATTCAAATCACCATGATTAGTTCTTTTGCGCAACTGTATCGGGTGATAAAAATTTAATTTATAAATAGCGTCAGTTGGAATTCACTATGCATGGAAGATATTAAAATAATGTGAAGTATCTGACGTCATTCAGACTTGTTTCTATCAATGAAATTTCGTAATCGTTGATTAACTAATTAGCGCGATTTTAATCTAATCGATAGAAGTTCATTCTCCAGCACGAACTCGAATATACTAATGTGCTAAGTTTAATATGTAGCATATTTAAAGGAATTCTGATTTGTTTTTAACCAAATGTTCCATTAAAAAGAAATAAAACAATTAAGATAAAAAATTATTTACAGAATAAAGATAAAACATGTCCCCGTCACTACTTGAACGATAACGGAAGAGATATTCTTGTCTTTTCTAGACAAGAATCTTCTTGTTCGTAAATAGTAAAAATGTTTTTCTTGATGAGGCACGTCTTTAACCAAAAAAGGACACCCTGTTTAATAGGAATTTATCATCTTGCATGTCAGTTTTGTCACGAATCATTCACAGTTTATCGTGATAAGGAATACCCATGAGGCTCTATCTTTTTCACCTAAAATACTTCTCCCGTTTCGAATCATTAAGAAAGAGATTCGAACAAGAACCATTCTTTATTTTCCCCATAGGCCTCAAACATTAGGTATAAAAATTATTATTTTTGTTTTGTTTGTTGTTTTGATTAAATGTTTATTTCATAAATTTGATTTTCTAATTTAGTTTATTTCCTCAAGAGTTTAGTTCATAAAATTGAATTTTTAGATCTAAGTTTTTTTAATAGATTAAAAAGAAGAAAATAATGCTATTTTTGTCAGGCATGAAGAAAAAAACGCTTTTTGTGTATTATTTTCGGAAGATGTGGAATGATCTTTTAGGGGTGATAGAATTATTACTAAGTGATACTCCCTTTGTTTTTTCTTTCAAATCAGATGTTTTTTTTTAGTTTACTTGAAAAACATAGTTTTTAAAATGTTATTTAATTTTTCTCCTTTTTAATTGTATGCCTTATAGTTTTTTTTAGGTCTAACTAGTCGAAAAGTGGACAAAATTCGGATTAACGATACATTCCTATAGGCGATTAATTCATCCTGCAGTTGTCAGAGAGCGATTAAAATTTGTATTTTCGATACAGAGCTGTGGTTAAATTTTGAGTACACAAATTATTCAGAAGGTGGTCAAAATTTTAATAAACTATCAATTGAATGGTGAGAAATTTGGCTTGTAGTGATCAGAAATGGACTAAAACTGGTCAAACTTTTAATAAACTATCAATTGAATGGTGAGAAATTTGGCTTGTAGTGATCAGAAATGGACTGAAACTTGCATTGTCATCAGTCATGGACACAGTTTGTACCCATAAAGATTTTGTTTTAAAAGTATCATTTAAATTGAGAAAGTGGAGTGACGAACTGCATACTGACGAACATCAGTATTCAAGTTTTAAAAATTATTTTTCTTTTAAAAGGAAAATTATAATATTATCAGCTGCATACATACTTGAGAATATTGAACTAGAAGCGTAAGTTGAACTTGATACAAAAAGAAAACGAACAGCGTCTTTAACGTTTTCACGTATGTAAATTCACGCATTTTTTATGTTTGAATGCGAATTTGTGTTGCAAACTTCAAAATGGCGATTTCTCAAAACAACGGAAACCAACGAGTCTCCAGATTTGATTAACTAACATAAGGCATATTTCTAAACTATATTTCGTCGTACGTAACTTTTCTTCTTCTTTTTTTGAGCTTACATCATTCATGCATGTGTTTCGCAATTTACAATTTTACATTTATAGTTTTCGATTGCAGTTATTTCATTCATAGTTTTATATTTATAGTTTTACATTTATAATTTTCTATTACCATTATTACATTTTTAAAGCTTTCGATTATATTTGTTGCATTTATTGCACTTACTGTTGTTACGTTTGTAGTTTTAGATTCATTAAATGATAAGATTAGATGTTTTTGGGAGTGCCATAAGAGGAGGAAAGAAAAAAAAAAGTCCCTATTTAAGTCAAGCCTATTGTTTTACTCCTGATGAGTATTTCCGCCCTTCCTCAAAAAATAGGGATTGACTGCTCAAGGTCAAGCGACGAAGTTTATTTCAAAAACTAAGACTTTTTTACTTCTCAGGTGGTGCTAGATCGGCCAACAGCTATCGCCAAATAGACAAATCCCTGTTGTCAGCCTCCATGACGAGTTTATGTAGTGATGCGTCGTCGTCCCTGTCAACCAGGCGACGACACATGAACGAGGATTCCTCCAGAGAAAGGTAAACTTGTCCCTAAAACTATATTTGTTTATTTAACATCTTTCACCTTATATAAACCTATTTACTCGTGCATAACATGCAACGCTAAAGTGTCGTTTCATATAAATAGGAAATGTTTATTTTATTTTCTATTTTGAATACAAAATATCAGAGTCAGTAATAAGCTGATCAGTACAAAGCAGACTTTTTAAAAATTATTCCACGAGTTTTGCCAAATCTACAGCTTTAAAATTTGTCCTAAATTTAAATTTTGAAACGAGCTGTTTATAGGATAATAAAGAAAAAAAGGAGAAGAGAGATAAACGAAGAAAATTAAGAAAAGTAATAAGTTTTATTTACTGCGCATTTATATTCTCTACATTTAACTTATTTTATCTTATTCTATATGCTTGCAGTTTATGCGCAATAAATAAAACTTATTACTTTTCTTAATTCTCTTCTTTTTTCTCTCTTTTCCTTTTTTTCTTTTTGTCTTCATTGTCCTGTAAACAGCTCGTTTCAAAATTTAAATTTAGAACAAGTTTTAAAATGGTTGATTTGTTTTAACTCATGGAACAACTTTTAAAAAGTCTGCTTTGTACTGATCACAGCGTATTACTGACTTTGATAATTTTAGATCTGTTAAAAATCGAGATCTTTGTATAAAAATTGTTGTGCTACGTGTTACTTATTAAAATTTATGTTTTGTAAGTTTTTAGAGCAAAAGTTTTTTTTTGTGGAAATTTTGTTGCTAGTAAATTTATGATTTTTAAAGGCAGAATTCTTTTTCTAAGGTTTTTGTGTATTAAAGAAATTAAAGTGGATTGCAAAACATATGAAATTGAATGTAGGTTTGAATAGCAATTCTACTCTCTGCCTAACGTAAACTACATTAGACATCATACGCAAGCTGATTAAATGGACGGATAAACTAAATATGACCCCGAAATGGAAAAATAAATGATTTCTGGGGTACTTGTCGTTGTATCTGTGCGTACCTAATCGAAACAAATACCTATTAAAGCCGTAATCTCTATGACGCCTGGTTACCGAAACTTAATGCCGAAATCATGCTATTTAACGCATTTGATTACTCTTTTCTTTGGTTTATATTTAAAGTCACCCAAGTCTGGGGGTTCGATCCCCGGCCCAGACACCGGATTTTCGGACTGCAGAAAATCCTCAGCGGCCATGTCGTATGATTATGCCGCATGTAAAAGATCCCTGAAGCCAAGAGCCTTATTGGCTCTTGGCATTTCCGGCAAAATCAAACTCCTAGTGCACTTTAGCATCCAAATAGAGTCTCTGTGCTGCCATCTAGTGTGGCAGAAACTGGACATCCCAATTAACATGGCCAACGGTATCTCACCCATTGTGGTGGTCCTGAAAGAGTGGATACCACTGCTGGAGAACGCACTAGGTCTGCTCATCGGGAAGACTGATTGTGCAGCTCATTGGAAATAAAAAAAAATATTTGAAGTCAAAAACTTATGTTAATACCCTTACGATCAATAAAGCTTTGAACGAGTTTATATAAGGTATAGCATCTCTGGGATCCACCCATAGTTATAGCAAACCCAAGATTGACAGTTTCACCTAAAGAAATCAAATTTGTCTGCATATTTATAATTCTTCTGCAAGTAACCAAATTTTTTCCTATATTACCAAAATCTCTCTATCTCTGCTTGTAATAATAATAATAATAATAAAAAAATTGTGTTTGGAACTGATATTTTTAAATGAGGTTGAGGCAACATGTATAGTGTTATTCAATGTAACATTTTTGCGGTTTGCATTTTTTGTTATGAAAATATTGAATTTTTAATTTGATAGATTGAATGAGGAATTCCAACAGAGAACAGAAAAGGGTTCAGTATTTAGCGCTTCTCCGTGGGAACGTGAAGCAAAGGAGAAGGTAAGAAATTTTTTTTATCATCTTTAATATTTATGATACTTTAAACTTGTCAATCGTTTTACTGTCCAGTAAAGCTGCACTTTTTTCCAATCTTATGATTTTTTTAATTATTATTTAGTTGAATGGTGTGTTGCGTAATTTATTAGACTAAGGCTAAGCTTTTAGCTTTTGTGATTTTTAAGCTATCTGTTATAAATTAATAGGAAATTTTTTTCCCCAATGTTTCCAATGATTAAAAAAATTGCAAGAAAAAAAAAGAAAGGCTATTTCAATTTATTAAATTTTTTTGACCACCTTTTTAAGAAAATTCATAACTCTGTCTAAGTAATATTGTATTAAATACTGTGCATTTTATAGAAACTTAATTAGGCAGCATATTACGAATTATTCTAAAAATACAATTTCTACATTCAAAATTGAATTTTGCACTAAAGGAATTTTTTACTGGAATTTTTTTTTATTAGTTTTCTTTCTTAATTTAAGATTCAGTATCTAAGAGCATGTCATTTGAGAATAAAATTTTTTATTTACGAAAAGGATGCTAAGTATGAGCGAAAATATAATATTTTTTATTTATTTATTTTTTAAAGACTCAAAATGAGAGAAAATATCTATTTTGTTAATATCTCAGCCTTTAATTTTAAGTTCTGAAGTAAATTTAAAGAACTTAATGCTTTACAAGCATGATCGTACTTTTGTTTTTTGTTGTTCTGCACAATTTATAAATGTTTCTGATGAAAATGATTTTAAAATAATATATTTTGTTAAACACAAAAAGATAGGAGTTGTTGATGACTATATTGAATGTTAAGCAACTGTTTTGTAAAATAATGAAAATATAAACAACTTTATTTACATTTTTATTTAATTGAAATAATGAAAACCTTTTTGCGAATGAGATTAACAGTAAGGAATTGTTAAACTTTGTTATTGTGACTTAAAACTATTTTAACCTATGAATAAACTCTATTTCTCCCTCTACATACGACAAAATTATTCATGTAATGAATTGATTTATAATTTGATTATAGTTGAAATATAGTCTGGGAGGTGCAATTTTTGTGAGAGAGAAAAAATTGTTCATCGGTATAAATACTATTTTTGGTAGAACGTAATGTGATTTACTTACTTTACTTCCTACTAAAGTTTTAAATGATTTAATAGTTGCAAAAAGAGCAAGTGCTAGATGCCAGGAAAGCACGTGACCAGGAGATATCCTACCTGGAATCTTTGGATGAGAGGAGTGAGAAGCAGGAAGAATGGCTCCGCATCCTCCGCTTGGAGCGAGAGTTCCAACGGAGGGCCGAACAGGAGCTAGATGACGACGACGATGAAGGGTCTGTCTGTTCTGAATCCACAGACACAGATAAGGTATTTATATTAGTCTTTTGGTGCATTGTTAAAAATTATACAGAAGTTAATGAGAGGTTAAATTGTTAAACCTCTCATTAACTTCCATAAAGCATAAAAAAATACATAAATTTGTTATATTTCTATACTTCAGTATTTTACTTACAATTAAAATCTGTTTTCACAAAATCGTATTAATGATAAAAAAAGAGATGTAAAAGCATAATTTTGAGCTGAAATAAAATTTCTAAATTTCTATCAGGAAAGTTCAACTTACAAAAATAATAGATATTATGTTTCTTAGATGGCAGCACCATAAATTTCTTGTGCGCACACAGGTTTTTATTAAGCATGAATTTAAAGAACTCAAGTAAGATTGAACTAGTCCTTAGTACGCAATTTTTTGGAAACTTTAATTAAAAAATTTTAATTTAAGTATTGAAATATTTTGTGTGTAGATTGATTAATTTATGACCAAAATTTGGACTGACACACAAAATTGTTTATATCGTGCTTCATAGATGGCGGCATCAGAAGCGTTAAAATATTTCTATGGTTTAATTAAATAAATATGATTTGACGGAACGAACGTAGAATTGGGTTGGTTTTTAATTATAATTATTATTATTCTTTTTATGTTGTTCGTTATATTTTTGAAATTTAGTGTCTAAAATTAAAAATAAAGTTAAGATTTAACTATTCTTTTTAGAAAAAATGTTGTCAAACCTTAAATTTTTTTTAGGAAAAAAAGAATTAAAGTTTACAAGGGAATGAAAGGGATAAGTGACTTTGCAATTCAGTAATGTAAAATCTGCTCACTGTCATGATTCAGATAGTTACATCTGAAAAAAATTTGAAATGAAATAAAATAATTTTATTATGTTGATTAAAATAGTTTTTCTAGGGAAGAGAAAAGTTTTAATTTAAGTAATCTCTCATTATACTCAAGAAGTTGACGAACAAATTGAAAGTTATATTATTATTCGAAAGTTTATTTACTCAATGATGATTTAAGCATAATATTGTAGTATACACACATGAAGGAGGAAAAAATTTGGTATGAATAGTACTTATGTTAAAACATCACGGGGATTTAATTTATTCTGCATTTCCATTAAGAAAGAGGCTCTGAAATTGAATTATTGGCTGAGGTATTTACATTAAAATAATTCGTATTACATAGTCAATATACGAAACGATCAATAAATGTGTATATTTTTATTTTAAAATGTCTTTTAATTACTGCTTATATAGGGCAATGTACTGTTGCAGAAAAAAATGAATTAAGTATGAAAATTCGCAAATAGAGATACGTTTTAATCATAATAATTTTTCTTACTTTTACCTCGTCAATTCATTATTTTGTAAGATTAGCTGATTTTGATAGAAATTTTTGTGGGAAAAAATTTATTCTAGAAAAACTTCGAAATTCAAGAAAAATAAAAGCGTTGTCAAAATATGATTTATAATTATAGAAACCTCCAAATGAAGATGGGATTAAAAACATCAGAATCAACTCAATCAAAAGGTCCTTCGCGAAGGCAAATTTCTCCCAATACTTGATCGAGGAGTTCCCTTGTCTTCTGTAAAGGGTTCAAAATTACAAGGATACGGAGTTGAACATTGGTGTAGTCGTAAAATCAGGTCGGCTGTTCAACGACTGTTTTAAAATAAAATTAAATAATTTTTAAAAAAATGTCTTTATCGGGCGCAAAGTTTAAACAAGGAAAAAAGAAAAAAAAGCATTTTTATGAAGAGGAAGACCAGGTTCACCACGAATCAAAACCTGTTTAATTACTGGGGGAAACTGAGTGGTACCGAAAGGTGATTTATGGAAACACTTCTAAATTTCGTCAATCAATCATGTTTCAATGCCGATTTCCTAGTACTGATTAGTCATATTTTTATAACGTTTTTGTTTTTTCTTGACATAAATTTAGAACAGGAATTATACCTGAGTTCCATTTTTTATTTACAAACTGTACTAGTGTTGTAGATGTTAATTATAATATTTAAATAAAAGAAAAAGAAACATTTTTTCTGGTTGAGTTTAAATTATCACTCATTAACATATAGATCAGTTTTTAAATACACTGCTTAAAAAACATAAAATTATTATTAAAATTATTATAGTTAAATTTAATAAAGTTATTACTTGTCTTGGTGGTTTGTTATTAAAGTAAATTTCTATTGGTTATTTTCAAGGTAAATTTGTACATTTTTTGAAACTATTTTTTTATTTCCAGACTGAAAGCTTTCATGGGGATAAATTGACAGTAATTCCTAATGAAAGATTGGGACTTAAAATTCTGGATGAGCTTCTCGATCCTCCCCCTAAGAGTTCCGAGAAAGCTAACAACAAACGAGAACTGCCTTTTGGAAATCCTTCCGAAAGGCACTTCATTCCTCTGGATGTGGCCATACCAGACAACGACCTGCAATCGCCTTCTTTACCTCTCACGAACAACATTCTCAAAATATCGTCTGAACAAAATCCTGCCACAAATGGAAACAGATTGTCCAAACCACCTGTTCCTGCACCTCGTCCAAGCAAAAACTTCACTCCAATACCGTTATCTGACAATCAAGAATCAAATTCTGCTTTTGAGCCCGTTCAGGAAGCGGTTCTAAATGAAAACGGAAGCAGCAGTTTAGCTAAGCTTGAAATATCAGATTCATGTGCTTATTTCTGCTCAATCGAAAACGATTTGGATAATTCTGTCAACGAATCACAAAATAATTGGTTGATAGAAGTACCAAACGATGTTTCACTTGGTCGAGAAGAGATTTCCTCAACCCCGTCGAAGCAAAAACAAAATGGCGAAATAAAGACTGGCTTAGAACAATCTAGAATTTATGAAAACATAAAGCCTGCTGATTATCAGTGTCTCAAAACTCAACATAGTTCATCAGGAAGTAGTTATAGTTCACACACACTACCCAAGTCTTCCAGTTCCAATATGTCGGCACTTAAAGAAATTACTCATCTTAGAAGTGGCAGTAGATATACGGAAAGAAAGTTTCCTACTATGGGAATTTCCAGTACATTGTCGAAGAAGTCTAATGGATATTCGACATGTGACGCAGACATTTTACCTTCCTTGTATGCTTCTTGCAAAACTCGGCCTGAGGTTGTGAAAGATGTCCCTCCTGATTTGGCTGACAAATCTCCGGAGTTCAAGAAAATGTGGATATCACGTCCAGAAAAACTGACTTTTCAAGACAAAATCAGAAAATTTTCAATTCAAGCTGGAGATGAAGATGCTCCTCGAGATCGAATTAAGAATTCGAAAGCTCAGCGGGAGATTGAAAATAGATTTAGTGAGGGACATAAAAGAGCATCAGCTACACAAAGATCAATAGAGACATAAAAGTAAAGAAATTTAATAATTAGATGTGTTAAAAAAAGTGCTTTATGAACAACACAATAGCTTTTAGAATTTAAAAATACAGTTTTTGCACTTATTATTATTGTATACTAATGTAATTGTCCAAGAGGCAACCATTTTAATATTTTTTTAGGTCATTGACCAGGGGTCTGTTTAGAAAAATTTGGGTCCGTTAACGGACCCTTCACAAAATATTTTTTATAAAAACCGACCCTTCACAAAATGTTTTTTCTTTTAATCGGACCCTTTCACAAATTTGTTTATCTTCATTATTGTTTTGCTAATCGAATAAACCCTTCCTAGGGCAGAAAACAAGAAAGATGGATGTAAACGAATTAAGTTTTGTCTTCGGCAGATGATTCTTCCATTATTCGTCCGAAACGAATATTTTGCGTTCAGTAGTATAGGCTAAATACCAAATATTTGTATGCTGCTTCTCTAATTTTGAAGCAGCAATTGCTGTTTATTTTTGAAAATTTAGTTTTTTTAATTATAATTTTACAGTGCCGAGCATAATCTTGTATCTATTTACAATTTAAAAACTCCTTGAAAAAGATTTTTGCAATAACCGGACCCTATTTGCACAAATTCATAAAAGCGGACACTGGTTGAAAATATGGGAGTAATTTTTTCACAATTTCACGAAAACCGGACCTTTCACGGACCCCTGTTGACATTAGATAGGTGATTGTGATATCTGTAAAATTGATTTATAGCATCGCTAGTGGTGCGTTTAAGTCTGTAGCATTATATAATGTATAAAGTCTATTTAAAAAAAAATTAAATCAAATTCTTCTCTATCTGTTTACAATATTTTATCTAAAATGTGACGGATTAATTTTTTCCCAGAATTAATTGTAACCTTTTTTCTATTTGCATTTGACCTTCCGCTTATCAAAATGATTTAAAACATTTTGTGTCTTAATAATGCTCAAGTTGTCAGGCTTCAATAGTGCTTTAATGTTAAACAAATTTATGCAAATTTAAAAATTACTGAGAAAAAAATCTTGTTTGAATATTTTTTGTTACATTTAAAAATGTCAAAAACTTTGAAAATTTAAGTACTCAATTAAATATTAATCTATACGCAATCTAAATTTATGTATAATTCAAAGAAAAAATATTATTAAAATTATACCCAAAAATATCGATACAAAATACAAATTAATGTAGTTAAAAAATAAAACAGTTCAAACTTGGCTGCTATGCAATGCCCATTAATTTGTTAATGAACATTGCAAGAATTTGAAAATAAGACAGGTAAACTTATCAATTGAACTTTGAAAGATAAATAAATTTATGAAACTAAATTAAAAGAGGTCTCAAAAACAATTTATGCCATGAAAGCAATTCCTTTGAGTTTATGATGCAATTTGACAACCGTCTCAGGGAAAAAAAAAACACAGGCAATTTGGTGTTAATCTCCAACAAGCAGTCACTAGAGTATCTGACTAGCGGATTTAGTTTTGTTTTAGTTTCGAAATGATGCAAGACTTTTCGTAACATATTTTTAGATTAGGATATATTTTTAGAATCCATGGCAGGAATAAGGTCATAAAATATCCATAATAGAAGACACAAATAAATCTGTATGCATAGGAAAAACTTTAAAAAAAAAATCTATCAAATTACTATTATGGAAAAGGTTTAAACCAGTTTAATTGTCGTAAAAAACTGAAGGGAGGTAGAAAAGAGACGTTTACAACCACCTTTAAGCTTCGTTGAGCAATCAAATTGACTTTTGTATTTTTAATTTTGCTTTCCTTTATAGTGATTTGTAAGATTTCGACAAAAATTTTTTCTTTGTTTAAATGATAATTTGCGACGTCTAACGTGCATACTTATTTTACTCTGTTTTTAACAAGAATTCGTAAAATGTATATATGAAGGTGATTGTAAATTTATCTAGATGTACAAAAATATATGAAAAATATTTTAATGTCTGACTTTTTGTGAAGTTGCCTCTTGGACTATACGAACAATAAATAAGAATAATTTTTTAAACTACTTGACTGAGCTAAATGGAGGGAACTGGTGGCACTTAAATCAAGGATTGAACATTTTATATATAAGCATGCTTTTACATTAACTAGGTAGTTTCAGCGAGGGAGAGAGAGCAGGCTTTCTCTAAGAATAGATCATTGCACCATTAGAATGTGGAAAGTGTCTCTAGAACTAATTTTAATATGCTTTTGATTTATCAGATTGTGAAAGAAAATTTTTCTACTAATCATATTTTAATATTGATTAGAAGGATTTTAGGTGTTAGATAAATTAAATATATTTCACCATCGCAGTTGTTTTAAAATATTCGAAAATAATTAGCTTTTTGTTTTTTAACAATTGCAAAATTCTTTTTTTTAACTCATTAACACTAATACTAAAAATATCATATTAATAATAAAAATATTTTTATACTACTTCTAAAGTACATTATAAATAAATAAAACAAGACAAACAATAAATTGTAATAATTTTTTTAGTCTAACTTTTAATTTATCCTCTATAAAATTATATGAATCTACAATTATGTTTGATTTTTCTTATTTGATAGGTTTGTTTTTATTAAAACATATTTAGACTTCTTATTTCTTTGTAAAAATAAAACCCATTTCTAATTTTTTATAAATTATCAGTANTATATATATATAAATTTAAACGAAATAAATATATGGCAAAATATTTTTATCAATTTGAGTGATTTGATAGTGTATATTAAATATGTAGATAAATAATATTCAATATGCTTAACAATGTTATTCAATGTTATTATGAGAGTCTTAACATTGTTTTGTTCTCATACGGACTGTTATTTTATTAATTTTCAAATCTTTAATGAAATAACGAATTTTCAAATATGTTATTTTCAAATTGTTTTATAATTCGCATGCTTAGACAATAACTGAATCTTAGATGGAAATACTTGAGGAAAAAAAATCCTAATTAGAAATCGAATAATCTTAAACTTATCCAATTTGTTTCATTGTTAGTATACTGTCAGTGTGTACTAGCAATGTGTTCAGTTTAATACTTGAAGTATAACACACAATATTATCTCAAATGTTAAAAGAAAAACAAAACAATAAATGGCAGTGTGTTACTGTGTGCAATAGATTATACATTATTTTATATGCATGCACAGCGTCATTTAACTTGTAATATTGTAACATTATTTTTGATATGTATATATATTTTATTTAAGTTATGTTAATATAAATACTTTTCTTAATGGTACTATCAGTTATTGTTATAAAGCGACAATTAAGGTGTCCATGATGTTAATGGAAATTTTAATAAAGTATTACTCAAAAGTTTACTTGCTTTTTAATCATTTATAAATTTGAATTATATTTTTTTAATGTTCCACAAATATCTGATATCAGCTATCTGTAAGAGTTAAGTCAAATTCTCATACCAGAGCAGATTTTTCGTTTGTGTTTTAGTTTAATTTTGATACCAGACCAGGGTAAATTTATCTTTTAGTTTGTGTCGAATAATGATATCATACTTGTGAGTTAAGCTGCTAGTTTGTTCTTTACTTTAATTTTGGCATTAAATCAGTGAGTTCAGCTGTTATGTTGTTTTTCGGTCAGTTTTTTACCGACTTGAAGACATTTTTTCGGCACTTTGTTGTGGGTGAACTTTCCCGTCTGATTCAAAAATTGGACCAAAATCATATTTTTGCATAAGTTTTATTACTAAATAGAAAAATCAATACAGTTAAAATATTTTATTTATTTCTTGGTTTTTACTCTTTGTTTAAATTGCCTTTAATTGTAATTACTTAGTTGTGTGTAATCTTTTTTACTCTCGAAAATATGTTGCACAATTCATTCGATTTCTTGAAATTTATCATGTCAATTTTTTATTTATTTATTTATTATTTTTTAACAGCAGGAGTATTTTTTATTGATAACAGTAGATATTATAAATTTTAAGAGAAGTTTAATATTTCAACTATCAAACTCCTTGGAAGAAACTGACTACTTACTGTAATTTTTCTATAAGATAACAGTTAGAAAAACAAGTTTATTGTACGTGAAAGTTAGAAAGTCCTAATCTTCAAACTTAGTTAAGGAACATACCCAATTTTGTTCATAAGCTCACAATTATTTCACACGTTGAAAAAAAAAGCAGCTTTGCAGATTTTTTTAAATTAATTATATGAGAAAACATACATTATTTTCTTTTGATTGAGGTTTTCCTGAAACTAATACTTAACCTTCTCGGATATTTTTAATTGCCTTACATTTTTGAATTTTAAATTACCAGAACTATTTTATTCAAGCACCGCTATGCGCGGGCATTAGTTTGCATTATTTTAAATTAGGCATTTTTGGACAGGTAACATTTAATGCTTCTTACCTGATGAGTTTCCTACAGGATAGTTTAGTCTTTGAATTGAAAAAAAGGTCTCGTTATAATTGCAAATTAACAATTTTAAGGACGTTACCCCAAAAGATAGGGTGTACTTTATGCTATGCAAACTAAAGTGAAAAAATTAAATGTGAATAAAGCACAAATGAAATACAGAAATGGACTTACTATAAATTCTGTTCTCTAGACAAGAATCTTCCTCAGTGTCTAAACACCAAATTATATTAGAAAAGTAAAGAGATAAACACGTGCGAAGTGGGTTGGCCAATCCGAACATTTCTTGTTCAGTTCATTCAAGAGCACAGATTTCGTTCATAATTGTTTATTTATTCTGATTGGTTAAACTACTTTGCACAGGTTTATTTGTGTTTAGACACATAGGAATGTTCTTACCTAGAGAAATGAAACTATAGCATGTCATTTTCTGTGTTTCATTAGTGCCGTATTTATGTTGTTTTTCACTTTAGTTTAAGGTTGTTTGCTCATTTATTTCTAGAATAATTTGAAAAAAATTCTTTTGAGGCATTTTTATAAATGTGTATTGCAATAACGGATGAAGAAGTGTCAAAATAATCACTACAAAATGTGGTACGCAGTATTTCGCTCGGTGACGAATCGCTGGAAGGAGTAGAGTGGATAATAACGACAATAACTCTAAAGGACGCTGTGTATTTTGAAAAGAAAAAAAGTACATATCATTCCGAGATTATGAAGTAGCGAAATGTACGACACAAAAATTGGTACCCACAGTTTCGCCCTGCACTGTAGAAAAACAATTATGTTAAATTTACAGTAAAAATCTCTCAGCTGATGTGCCAGTTTAAAGCCGTTTATTTCACTGAAAAATATTGTTCTTAAAAA